TCCTGACAGTGCTGGAGCATCTCAACTTGCTGCTGTTAATTTAACCCCTAGTTACCAGCTCAGCTGTAGAACAAGCAGCTGCTTCTGTCCAGCTTCTGCTGGGCTTGCTGCTCCTGAGCTGCTCAAAGCAGATCTCTGGGAGGCCCTTGTGTGTGGAGGAACAGTCTCTAGAAGTGTGTCTCTAGTCTCAGTCTCTAGTTTCTTGAGTGAGGAGGAACAGTCTGCTCACACCTGCAGCACAGGAGGGAGGCTGTGTTATGCCCCCATCATGGAACAACCACAGAACATGAGATTCTGCTCCAGAGAGGCCTTCCTGACTCTCCTGAGTTTATGCTCTTCACCCCACTGAGCCTGATCCTCTTCATTGCTAAATTGATGGGCCTGGGGTGGTGACCCATCTTGCCCATAGGTCTTGGATATTTCTGTATGTTCATGAATTTTTTGAGTCTTGTCCTCTCTCTAGGCCTCTGAAGAAAAGATCAGGACAACAGAGACACAGGTGCTGGTGGCCTCTGCTCAAAAGAAGCTCCTTGAAGAGCGGCTGAAACTCATCTCCGAGCTGTGGGATGCTGGAGTAAAGGTATGACCAGGTGATGGCAAAGTCAGGAGCTGCCTGGTCTGTTCTCTGTGCAAGGAACGGACCAGATCTGGCTTTGCTTTGGGAAGGAGGAGTCATAGGGAGAAGGTGAGCAGCAGACTGCCTTCCTGAATGGAGTTTGCCTCTTCTTGGTGTCCTGAATCAGGTTTTCTCCAGGAAGGGCAGGGCAGGGCAGCATGACTTGGTTAGCCCTGTAACACTGCAGGGACTGCTCTGTGTCTCACCTCAGGACAGATTCCCAAAGCAGGCCACACTCTAGCCCCTGCTGCATGGCAGCTGAGATACCATGCTGCTGCCAACAAAAAGTAAAAAAAATGCAGAGCTTTGCAAGAAAGGGAGAGTGAGGCCAGGGAGGAACCTGAGCTGTTTTCTGCAGGCCAAAGGCAAGCTGTGTGGCAGGGCCCTGCTCCCTGCCTGCTGCAGGCAGGCTCCCTCGATGACTGAGTGGAGGAGAACACGTGGGTGCTCTGCTGGGCTCCTGACCCTGTCGGGACACCACAGGTGTCACAGAATCATCTGGGTTGGAAAAGCCCCTGAAGCTCCTCCAGTCCAACCATGAACCTCACACTGACTGTTCCCAACTGCACCAGATCCCTCAGCACTGGGTCAGCCCGATCAGTCTTCAACCCTTCCAGGGATGGGGACTCCCCCCCTGCCCTAGGAAGCCCATTCCAACGCCCAACAGCCCCTTCTGCAAAGAAATCCTTCCTCAGAGCCAGCCTGACCCTGCCCTGGGCAGCTTGAGGCCATTCCCTCTGGGCCTGGCGCTGGGTCCTTGGCTCAAGAGACTCATTCCCCCCTCTCTGCACCCTCCTGTCAGGGAGTTGCAGAGGGCCAGGAGGTCTCCCCTCAGCCTCCTCTTCTCCAGACTAAACCCCCCCAGTTCCCTCAGCCGCTCCCATCAGACCTGTGCTCCAGACCCTGCACCAGCTTTGTTGCCCTTCTCTGGACATGCTCAAGTCATTCAATGTTATTTTTGGGGTGAGGGGCCCAAAACTGAACCCACTCATCAAGGTGCGGCCTCACCAGGGCCAAGTATAGGTGTAAGATCCCTTCCCTGTCCCTGCTGGCCACGCTAGTGCTGATACTCAGCCCTGGTCTGACACTGACTGGAGCTAATGACCTGGTGCTTTCCCAGGGTATGCAGTTTCTTGTACCTCTGAGCTGTGCTGTGTTACTTGTTAGCTGTAATGCTCAGCCTTCTCCGTTAGCCCATCATCTGACACCCCCACACTCACCAGATAGCAATTAGCAGACTGGCCCAGCAACACCTGGTTGAGGCAGTGCAGAGAAGCAGGCCAGTGCTGATCCATGGTGGTGTGCTCTGGTTCTCTTCCAGGCAGAAGTGCTGTATAAGAAGAACCCCAAGCTGCTGAATCAGCTGCAGTACTGCGAGGACACGGGCATCCCGCTTGTTGCCATTGTGGGTGAGCAGGAGCTCAAGGATGGAGTCGTCAAGCTGCGGGTCGTGGCAACCAGGGAAGAGGTGAGGCCTGCAGTAGCACGGTGTGAGGGGGACTGGCCACTTCACCCTTCGTCCTAGCTCAGGCCAGCCCTCCAGACCCATCCGTACCCTGCTTTGCAGCAGTGCTGTCGGGCTGTTCGTAGCAAGGTGGCTTTGCTGGCCCACATTTTGAGTGTGGTGCCCAAAGGGGAGATGAGAGGAGTGTAAGGCACTTGCACCTGATGCGAAAAGCATCCAAGGCCTAAAGCTACTTAATGCAGGAGGTGCGGTGAGGGGAAGGCTCCCTGCATGCAGTAGGCAGAGAGTCATGAGCCAGGGCTGCCAGACTCGAGGTGAGGCCTGTGGACTGAGGCTGGTGGCCTTGGGGGTATGTTTTTGGAGACTGGGTGAGATGAGTTTCCTCAGCTTGTCTTGATGTGCTGTGGAGCGCATGCCCTGGTCTCAGTTTACCATCAAGCCCCCTATAACAGGGTCTCAGCATTTTATACATGAGCTTCCTCATTAGATCTTTTCAAGTAGTGGTCTCTCCAGCGACTCCTAAGACCTCACATTCCACTTCCTTGCCCCATGCAGTTTCCTGAAGCACTTGTCCCCAGTTCTGGAGAGTTTCCCATCAGGTGACCTTGAAGTTCCAGCTGTTCCTCAGTTCAGGAGCCTGGCACACGGAGGGGCGATACAGTGGCCCTGTGGCTGCTTGTGCTTCCCATCCAGGCTGTGGGACCATTGCAGAAGGTCCTGGAGGTGCCCTCTTGCAATGAATGGGACCAGTGCTGACTGGTTTTGGCTTTGGAACTGGTAGGAAAGAGTGGGAAGAGCATCTTTCTCATGATCATTGAGCAGGAGAGGGCTTGGCAGGTTTGCAGGCAGGTGCCTGCTCTCACAGGTTCAGTTCTGCATGTGCTGCAGCCCCCTTGATCCCCGTAGAGGGACTGGTGACAGCAGCTCGGTGTCATCTCCCCAGACACAGGGTGCATGCAGTGTGGGCCATCCCTCTGGGACTAGAGAAGGTCACGATATGTCAAGCTGCTTGTCTTGTATTGAAGCAACTTTGTGCTCCCCCTGTGTAGGTCAACGTTCGCAGGGAGAGCCTGGTTGAGGAGATCAGGATGCGAACGAGCCGGCCTTAACCCCCTTCCAGACATGTCTCCTCGTTCATTGGATTCTGGCTGACAGATTTCCTCCTGTAAATGCCTTTGGTGGGTCACGTAGCAGCGGCTGCAGGGTTGGGGCGGGGGGGGGCCTTGAAAGCTGTATTTATTATTGTCTTGCGCCCTCCCTTTCCCGGCGGGAGCAGAGAGGCAGCCCTGACTCCTACGACATGCCCTGGCCTTGGAGTATGGCGCTGTCAAGACGTTTTGCAAGTGGCTGTGCTGTCCCTGCCGTGACACACAGAGCCTGTGCTGGCAGCAGACCCCGGGGTCTTGGCTGCAGCTTCTTGTTCCTGTCGCTTTTAATAAACATCCCGCCCTGTCTCCCTGCTCTGGCTGCAGGGAGGTGACCTTATCCCAAGCAAAATGTAAAGGTGCAGCTCCCAGAAACATAATAAATCTGTCTGCCCTGCTCCTGTTGACTCCTGTCCCTCCTTTCTGCTTGCGGCAGGGCTTTGCTCACCTGCCTCGCCGAGCCACAGCAGGGCCTTAAATATCACGGGGGATGTTTCTCAGCATCGTGCTCCGCTTCGTGCCATGAACCAGGTCGGTTTCTTTTTAGTTTTTTAACCCCACGGCTTTCTGGCGTGGGAGCGGAGCGCTGGGGCGCCTGT